ACATAGCAGACAACTGCTTAAATAAACATGAACAAGGGAAGCCAGCGGCACAAAAGGAGGGAGCAAAGAAAGGGGAGACGCACTCGAGCTCACATAGGTGCAGCTGCTGTGTATTCCAACTTGTGCACCACAAGGGATGACAATGAAAAATCCAAACACAGATTCAGCATTTAAAATATATTAAAAAGAGACCAGAGATAAGGAAAAAAATATCACTACATGTCTAGGAAATAGAACCAGATTTGACTGACGGAAACAGACTGCAACGCATACAACATTTTTGAGGAATATCCTTAAAGTTATAAATAAAAACCAAAATGTTCAAGTTTGCTGTATAATGCACCTTAAAACTGCAAGCTGTGCGGCTGGGGGTGTCAGGATTATGCATGTAATATGCATTATCAACCAGCCAAAATGGTGTGACTTGTGCTGCTGGGTTAATGGGTGGTGTGTCATTGCAAAGTAAAGAAAGTCTCCATGGAAGACAATGCTTCAGCTTGTATTGCATTGTGCCATCTGGGTTATGTCTGATTGCACTCAGTTCATGCACTGTGACATCCCCTGTTCCCTCTCCTGGACTGATTGATTCGCTGTGGCAGTGGCTGTGTAAGTCTTAAAAAAAAGTTAGCTCAGGTAGTACACACCACAGGTTCTCAGTTTGGCTCTTGCTTTATTTATGAAGGTGACTTCAGTTCCTATATCATCATAAAATCATACTGATTTCCTGTCTTCTTCTTATTGGGTCTCACTCTATTTGCATGGCACGTCTGTATTTTACGGCTACAGTTAAGAACTTGTAGATTTGAAGAGCCTGCACTTGATGCGGTCTTGTAAAAAGTGAGTGGCTCAAGCTGTAATTTCCCTTGCAGACAAACAGCAATTGGTTCTGGTACAGTGTAAGATTGCTCACAAAAGCCTTCCATCATACATCCATTGTGACATGTGGAGTCCAGGGAATGCAGCGGGGCTTTTACAGCCATCTAGAGTGTGTGTCCAGCACTTAAGCACACGGCCATCTGATTTGTGCTTTCCCTGTCCGCTGGTAGTGATCCTACTGTACCCTTCATTTTCAGCACTCATTATTATCTGCTCTGAAGCAGCAACATCTGTCATATTGATCCTTCTTAAAGCAAATGAGCCAAAGGCTTATCTAGTCGAACTCTGTCAAGATTTGATGAGTAGGAGGTTGTTATGTTGACACATTAGTAAAAATGGAAAGAAGAGAAAAACTGCAGTTTTCAAACACACACACACACACACACACACACACACACACACACACACACACACACACACACACACACAACATACATATATATATATATATATGTATGTGTGTGTGTGTGTGTGTGTGTGTGTGTGTTAAAATTGTGGATGATTAAGGACGCCACTGCTTTAAGTGACAAGGAGGGCACTGACAGATGGCTACACCGCTATCTGTCTCCAAGATGCTTCAAAACGCAGTGGCTACATCCATCGTTTTTCTATGACTCCCACACCACCAAGCAAAAAAGGGAAAAATATGCTAAATAAATTCTTTTTTCTTTGCTCACACTCTTTCCTCTTTTTAATTCCACGAACTGGCAGTGAGATAATCCCTCTTCAGACTACTCTAGACCTTTGTCTAACATACATTAAGCATCATGAGTGTAATTGACCACCTAACCACATAAAATCCATTTTCGGCTCAGTTCATATTTTTGTAAAAGTGCTTGAAAATGTGGTCATCACTGCTGAACTCAGTGCATCTTTTTTTTTCCCCCTGCAGCAAATACAAAACCTATTTCAAAAGCAGATACAATGTGAAAATGTCCTAATGCAATAATGATGTAGCTCTTCAAAAATGATTTATTTCTTCATGATAATAACTGTTAATGAGTATTTGGAGTATATATACAGTATGTCTGCTGTGGTCACCAAAATAACATTTTCCCTTTTATTAATTAGCTTCTGGGTCTAAATTAATAAGGAAAAACACATTAAAATAGTCTGTGTAATCACTTGTGAGATTAACAAAGTCTGATAATACTCCTGATTGTAGACTGACATTAAACCAACACAGCTCCAGTTTGTACAATTTTCATGTAAATTTAACATTTAGTAACACCTTCAAACATTTGTTATTTAAATGAAACCCCAAAACTCCTGGTTAACATTTGATATTGCATATTAAGTATATTGGTTGCTGATAACTCTGAGTCTCAGGGTCTATGGGACAGATCAGCAGGTGAAGCCAAACCTACACTACTGCTTATCACACTGTTTTGATTCTAACACTGAGACTCACCCATGTCAGCAGTGTTCCTGCAAATGCAGGCTGTATAGCAGATAAGCGTGATGGAAAACTCGAACATCAGCTGCGAGCAGAAGAGTATGGAGTGAAGAGAAAAGAGTGATGGGCTGCAGATGTAAACTGAGGGGAAACAGATTACCCTCGGCTATGGACTACTGGAGAAAACTGGCTGAAGTTAAGCAGCATGAGTGGGCAGGTTGCAGAGGTTAGGTCGCATACTGATGATTGGAAATAGAGACTTATGCTCAGTATGCAGCAGTTTAGACAACAGCAAGACTTGACAACCTGACAAGAAGTGCCAAGAGATTCTGCCTTAAATAGACTCGAGCAATTAGGAGCAGCTGCTGAGTAATGAGGACAATACAGGGCGGATGAGGTTGTGAAAATCCAGATAAACTCAGGTGCTATCATGATGTGTGAGGACTAGATGGCAGCATGATTAGAAATAAAGTTTGTCTTATAAGGACTCCTGTATGATGGACCCAAAGCAGACAGCTAGCTTAGCAGAAAAGCTGGAAATCATAGACTGTATTTAAAAGATGGCTGTAACAACTGTGACATCACCCAGTGGTTGCTGAAGATTTGACCTTTTTTTTATAACTAAAGGTGACATATAAGAGGTAGATGTGACCAATAAATCAAGCTAGTTTGACTCTAATAGGGATTATAGTTCACAACATAACCATTTTGTTCTATTCATTAAAACCGGCACTTATTCATTAAGTATTTTCTCACATAATATATTAAGGGTCATTTACTCGTGGCCTTGCAAACAGTGGCAAACAGATGGGTACCGGTTGTTAGGATGCCTGGGTCGTTGACCCAGGGTTTTTGAGTTTACGATATTATTTATACTGTCTAGTTTTTGGTTTCTTTGAGTTCTATCTTATGGCTTAGGTCTCTGTCTTCTTTAGTTGCTCTGTCTCCCCTATCACCTGCATCCCCTTGTCTAGTTCGCGTTTATGTGTATCTTTAGTTCCTATTTCTCAGTGTTTGTGTCTGCCCTGTTCCCACGTCTCTGTTCCCTTTGTTATAGTGCCTGCCCGTGAGTCTGTGTTATGTTTCCTGTTTTACTTTGAAAGTCCATGTCTGATGTTAATGTGTCTGGTTTTGCTTCCCCCTTGTCTCGTTAGGCCTGATTTGCCCCAGCTGTGTTTCCCTCCTGTTACCCATTCCCTGATTGCTCCCTCTGTGTATTTAAGCCCTGTGTTTCTTGGTGTCTGTGTCGTGATCTACCGTTTACGTTGCTGTGTGTTTTGCCTGTCCACCGGTGTAAGTTTATTTTGAGTTTTTTCCAGTTATGTCATGTTTGCGTTCAGCATTAAAGCGGTTTTTGTTTAAGTTCTGTCTCCGGAGTCTGCACCTTGGGTCCTATTCCTGCCTGCACACAGCCACACCTAACACCGGTATTGGTTCTGACATAAACGGTAGTAACCAGACCGAAAAGCAGCACACATTTCGGTGCTTTTTTTTCCTGAGATGTCGTACACTTTGGATTCTAGCCAATCATTTTACCTTTCCAAGGATAGTAGGCGGGCCCAGATACGTACGTTCTTTTAGAGCAGAGCTACAGATTAAAAATGCCCAAGGCGAAGCGGTCAAAGTCTGGGTGTACTTCACAGCAAAAGATGCAAACTCAGCAGCCTGCAACAAGTGCTTTAAGGTGATACTGTGATACTGTGCAAAGGAGGTAACTCCTCGAATCTGATGAAACGCCTGGCAACGTATAGCATTTTGTTAAAAGCCGAGAAATGCGCTGTATTTGATAGCTTGCTGCGAGACCTCACACCGAGCACATCTACTGCGGGTGTGGTGCCTGTTATCAAACCTGGAGTTAGCAATATCCCCCAAAAACCTGAAGAGTACAGTCCTGGCCCCTAGCCCTGTCAGCTTTCTATTGGTTGCAGCTTTGTAATTACTAGACAAAATTGACACTGGTATTAGTCTTTTTCTTTAAAAAACAAGGATATTTCTCAGAAATCCATGCTTATGTTATAAATTGGTTATTAAAAAAAGACTGTAAATGCTGAAACAGTAGAGATGCACTGTGAAGATTGATACTGAATTTAACATTGAGCCTGATTGCATCAATTAACACAAACTGCCTCCACCATGAAACAGTTGCTAGAAATCACTGAATGTAGAAATACAGAATTTGACAGAAATATTTCCACGCTTTCTCTCTCTCTGATCATATGACATCACTCCACTTTGAACTCAGCAGTTCTGAAGTCTGCATCTTGACAGCCTGTGCATAGGGAACATCCTGATTATAGCACAGCCCCAACCAGAGTCCGAGGTCAGGACCACAATCTGTCTTGCAGGCTGACTTCAGAGTCTCTCAGGATCAGAGGGATGCAGCTTGTGGATGCCCCATCAATGACAGCAACCCTAAGGGTTTCTTTGTATGTGATGGGGGTGGGATACATGAAGTGTCCCTGTCATTCCTGCACATCACAAGTATAAAAGCGTATTAAAGAGTCTTCTGAAGAGTGATTTTTCTGGGAAAATTCCCTTGTGGCAAGCATATGTAGTCTAAACTCCTGTATTAAGTCTGGGCATACATCTCCCAGCAAAGGTTTGGACTTACATTTGAATGAAAAGCACATTTGTTTTCATCTAAACTGATCAAACATCTTGAAAATAATAAGTCATAAAATAATAGAGTTCTTAATGTTTTTACTAGAACGTCTTTGTAGTTGTATAGGGGTCCATTTTCAGCACAAAAATACTCCCAACAATGATGCCTTGTTACTTATTGCAGCTTTATCACGTTAAAATGCTAACTAAGCACATTAACAGGAGTAAAAACAGTTTCTTACAAAGTATAGCTAATACCTTTTATTTGTGTTTGAAGGATTGAGGGCTGTTTCATGCACAAAGGTTCCCAAATATTTCACATGAGAATGTGAACTGCTCCCTTTCCTTTTCCAGCAAAATTTCTGGTTTTATTCAAAACAGCTGCTAGATGACAACCTGCGAGGCATTTGTTTCTCTGACTAGAGACTCTGATGTATTTGTCCTCTTGCTCAGTTGTGCAACTCTGGTTAGAGCCAAGTTGTGCTGTTCTGTGAAGGGCAAAATACAAACCATTATATGGAAGCTTCACTTTTTTTTTGGCAATTTACTCCCTGCGGAGTAGCCTGCATTTTAAGAATACTGTGATGGGCTTTGTGATGGGAGATGATAGTTCCCAAATTTATTGCTTATTTAATCAGCAGAACAATTTTCAGCTGCGCTAACATAATTGGAAAATGTTTTTCTAATGATCAATCAGCCTTTTAACAATGATAAACTTGCATTAGGTACCACAATGTTCCACTGGAACGCAGGAGTTGATTGCTGAAAATGGGCCTCTGCACTGCGTAGGTATTCCATTAAAAAAAAAAAGCTCTATGATTAATGATTCCTTTAATCATGAATTGTCATTTCCAATACTTGTGATTACTTTCAGATTATATTAGATATAAACAAATATTTTCCTTTACAAACACAAGTGTATTTCAAAGTGACCCAAAACTTTTGAGCGCTTTGTGCTTAATTCTAGTTAAAAAAAAGAAAGTATTTATAATTCATTTCCCTAAACAGTACCTGTCTTTGTAAAGGTAACAAAATATAACAGTGACAACACTAAAACAACATCTTAAAGTACCACACTGGCTACATATATGGAGCTAATTGGGAAAAGAGCTTTGTGGGTATTGATCCAACCTCTTGTTAATAGCGTGGCCATGTAGGGATGAAACACACTACTCTGTCTGTCAGCCTCTTTTTTTCACCTTTGTTATTTCTCCTTTGCCAAGAGAATATTTTACACTGGTGGGGGTAGCATACAGTCATTTGAAAAATAATTCAGTAGCTTGTAGAAACACCAATAACTTGCAGCAGTCGTTCTCTGTATGACTTTATTAGTCTCTCACATCATTGTACATACCACCACTCTTAGCAGTTCGTATGAGGTTTTTGTGCTGATAGCCTCCATTTGTTTTTTGCAAAGTAGTGATGTGCATTTTGGCCACACACATCTCCACTTTGGTCTTGTCTGTCGAAAAGTCATTGTTCTAGAACTCCAGTGGTTTGTTCTTATGCAACTTTGCAAACCAAGGCCGTGCTGCGTGTTCCTTTTAGAGAGAAGAGGCTTTCTCCCGGCAATCCTTCCAAACATGTCATACTTACTCAGTCTTTTTGTAGTTGTACTTTCATGAACTTTAACATTTAACATGCTAACTGACGCCTGAAGAATCTTAGATGTAGCTCTTGGGGTTGTTGCAGTTTCTCCAAGCATTGCACAACCCCAAGAGCTTGTGGTGTATGGGGACATCCACTCCTAGGAAGATTGTGGGATTGTGCTAACACACAACTGAATGCTCCTGACTAGCAAACTGAGAAAGCTTCTACTTTTATAAAAGTGCTAACACTTGCTGATGATTAATTAATGAAGATGTGTTTGATTAGCAGAACTTGGTTAATGCTTTGACTCTGATTCTTATGGAACCAGTAGGGGTCCATAGAGTCCTGTGAAAACTTGACTTCAGACCCACTTTCCACCTCTTTGGTCCACCTGTGTTATCTAAATTACTACCTTGAACCTTTTTTATTCCTATTTTTGAAAGGTACCTTGTACTTATTATGTTGTCTGGCTTTGCAGCTAACAGCAACAGCACACTGCAGGCTAACATGCTTGGGAGCACCCTGTTTTGTCTTAGATGTAATATGAACATGGACCTACCCTAGGCCTGTGGCCTGATGAATCACTAAGGATGCAACAACTTTATCCACAAGTATTTACCTTGAGAACTGATTGACATACATGCTGCCTGGTATGTCACTTGATGATGTATGTGCCCGTAGGAGCGTCATGATTGAAAACCAGCCCAAAAACGCTGCACATTACTCAAGATATACATTTTTTGAGGACCCATTTTTTACCCCTTTGAAAGCAGGAAATTTAAACCGTCAACTTCAAGGAAGCAGCAGCGTCCAACCAAATGAACCAAATGAACAGTGTGTTTTCGGATGTCTTAATTAGTTCTCCGCCATCCATATGTTTGGGCTGGTCATTAAGCGAGTGTAGTGTCAAACTTTGTCTGAAAAATAGTACATGATATGACAATGGTGTGCCTAATGATCTGAGCGTGCTTTAAGATGTATAATGTTTTTGCACTGTGGTTTTTAGAAACCTCCACAAAATAAGCCTGCTGTTTTTGTTCACTATGGAGCTCATCACTCACACTCTCCCTCTTGATATTACTAGTGCATGAATGCCATTTTTCTTTCTTCCAGAGGAAGAAATGTAATGCTGCAGTGGCATTATTAAAACTCCTGTCTTGACTTTTGGTTTGAGCAAGTGAAGCAAATGATCACATACATTTTACTTTATGGTGTCACACTGAAAGAATAACAGAAGTTTTGCCATCAGTGTAAGAAATTTTGTGGGGAAAAAAAAATTGCTTAATAATTCCGACCCGCAATGTCAGGACAGCAGTGTAGCGAGGGGGAGCAAATGGACTATTGTTGCTAACATAACAATAGCACTGCCCCATTGATAAACTCCCAGCATTTTAGCAGCTGCATTGTTCTGCTAATCCCTCTACAGTTAAATGGAAGACTACACAAGATATTATACTGCAAGAATGCCTTACGGATAAAAAACAAAAAAACAAGCCCTTGTCTGAAATCACATGGATAATTGACCAAGCTGGGATATCACAGTGACATGGTAGCAGGACAGCTAGATTACCGTTTAATAAGGAGAAAAAAAATCAGCTGTCAAAAACCATAATTGTTAAATGCCAAGTCTTGTCAGCTCCTCAGACTGAAAGAGAAAGGTCTTCTCTCCGCTCGCCATTTTGAGCCATTGTTCAACAATCATGCAGTGATGCCACCTCTTATGTTAATAGCAACGGACACAAAGACAAGATTGGCTGGGTTTTGTCACGCTGTCTTATCTTGACTCTCTTTTTCCACCTATAATTCTAAAATGTAATACTCTGGCATTGTTTATATGTGCAGCATTTACCCATCTTCAACAACTTGTATTAATTATACTATGAGTATAAAACATTCTTGAAAATGACAACTGGGGCTGAACAATTAAGCAAATGCCAAAGTGGCAATAATTACAATTCTGGGAATGACCACTTGATCCTGGGATCAATAAGTATCAAAAATGGGATCAAAGAACACTTTTATTACATTTAGATTAATTTTTTCCCTTTTTAAAAAATGTAATTCACCTGTTTTTATTGTACTTATTAAGCAATGCATTGCAGCTGTAGCAGGTAGTCATCTGCTGAACATCACCAATGAATCTGAGTCAGAGCTGCGCTTTGTTTTTGGTGGTACTGACTTTTTAAGCATTTTTTCATGCAGTCATCAGGCTAATAGGACGGCTTGCTCTGGGTGAGTGAATTTTTTAGCATTATTAGCACTAATTAGCTCTTCATCTGTGATTCATCTGTATCTATAAGCCGAACTCAATTCTGTTCAGTGTTAATTTTATCTCTTTATAAGCTTATTGGTGTGGCGCTTCAGAACATCCCAGTTCCCTGGTGAAAACTAATTGCCCACTCCTGATCAATAGACTCCTTTCTCTCTCCTCACTCGTTTATTAGCTCTGAAGCCCATTGTCCAACCGTAGACAGTATGAAAGATAGTTATAGCTAGCATGACATCACCCACTGGTTACTGAAGTCTCGCTGAGATGACCATTTTCACCATCGCCATCTTACAAAATAGCCATTTGTATTGAAAACATGTGTGCCATAGCTAAGCGCTATCGTGAAGCTAAACATAGCTCCCCTGCCACCTTGCATTTGATTGGTCTTGAACATAACTCTTCCTGCCATATGGGGCAGTTTATCTAAACTGCTGTCTCAGATGATGCATTGCAGTTCATCGCTCAGCACAATGACACCTGCTTGTCTGAATGATGATTTTTACTGTTAAATGTATTTTATGAACAAGCTAATATGACAGCTTTAAAAATACAGAATGACGTTTATGGTAAAACTTCAGTTATAAACTCTCTACTCTGTTGTAATATTTATAATTGTTATATTGTTTAGAGGATGATTACGAAGGAGAATTTGATTCTTTTAAACAAATAATGAACAGATTGCAGTATATAAACATTAGCAACATTAGCATGTTTGTTAACATTGCTAAATAAACTGTCAAAGTATCCAAGTTTTGTGTTTGTGCTACATATTACCTTTGGGTATTCAACACTAGACTCGTGACTGTCATTAGCCAGTGCGCTTTCTTAGCACAGTGACCCTCCATACTGAACCATTGTTTCACCAAGATTTATAAAACAGAAATTTTTCTTTGTCCAATATTACCCAAAATGAGTGATTGAGTCCATTAACTCAGAAAAAAAAATGTTTGCAGAGGTCAAGGCAGAAAGCTGTTCTCCCATCGAACTTCTATATGTCCAGAAATCTTTTGCCACAGCTTTTCTCTTCTGGTAGTCTTCAGATAGAATGCAAGTGTAAGCCAGTTCCACATTGGCTTTATTTATGCTAATACTTATCATCTTGATTGATCAACCAAGCATTGTGACATGTAAAAGGAGGGAACCACGTGTAACCGGAGGTAGATTGGCTCGCCTACTAATCAAAAGGTCAGCAGTTCAATCCCCAGCTGCTCTAGTCTACATGCCAAAATATACTTGGGCAAGATCCTGAACACTGAGTTCGCATTCGTCAGAGTGTGAATGTGAAGGTTAGTTTAAAAGCATTTAAGCACAGAAAAAGTCATTTCAATAAATGAATGGGTGAATGAAGCGTTTAATAAGAAAGCACTTTAGGTACTCCAATAAAGTAGAAAAGTGCTATACAAGTATCAGTGCATTTACCATTTGCATAATTACGATTGCATTCCGTTTGGGTTACTTCTGGTCTTGTACATGCCAGTTCATTGAAACTGTGAGTTCTTATGCAGACATTAAAAACAGATACAGGAAGCTTCAGCTTCAAAAACATACTGCAGGAGATCCTATCTTAGCTACTAAATCTGCTGCATTCACAATGTCAGCAGCTGTCACTTAAGAACAAACAAAACATTTTTCCTTTCAGGAGAGAAGCTTCCACTATCAACATGGCCACTGGCAATGTTAAATATCACCTGATATCCCACATCGAGGGGAGCCTGTGAGAGATGCTAGGAGACATCCACACTGGTAGCTCTGCATTACACATGCTGGCCTGCTGTCGTCATAATCTCTGTGCCATCTGGCGGGGAACTTCACAGTCCCCTTGCACCCCTGGTTCATTAGTATTCCTCTCACATTGAGCAGGAGAGACCAGTGCGTATGTGACATTCCTCAGAAACATAAAAGAGTCAACACCTGCGAGGATTAATTGAAGAGTTACAGGGTAAGGGCCCACCTCCAACAAACCGACTCATTTTAGGCAGTGAGAACACTTAATTTTTCATCCTCCTCCTTTATGTGCTACAGTCCCTTCACAATGCCAGCGTCTTCTCCCGTTTCCCACAAAATGGATCCACTACTTTTGTTACATGTGGACTACTGATATTAGCTGATTAAGTCTGGGTGAGTGCTGCCTGGATCCCTGGCTCAGATGTTTTAGAGGGAGAACCCTGTCTGCAAACAGTGAGACTGCGACTCTTTAAAAAGATGCTTCAAACAGTGCTTCCAGCATTCACTGTGAGCTGTGATCAAAGACTGATCCCGGCCTTTTCAAATCCACACGGCCTCTCATTAGTGCCACATGGGAAGAGCCTTCTCTGACAGCAATCTATTATTTCCAGCTTTATATTTGACTACAATCGTGAGCTGATTAGAAAGCTTGCCATTGTGTCGTTGTGATTTTCACATTGGTCGTTATGTAATTTTTTCAATAAGAAGATCAGTTAACATGTGGTTCAGAGCTTGTATGTAAGTAGCATGGCCTCGCAGCTGGCAGTTTTCCATGAGATATGATCAGGGATTTTCAGAGCTTTGGTGTCCAGTGTTGACTGTATCCACTTCAAGTGTTTGGTGGATTATTGGATAGAGACACTTCAGGCTTCTTTGTTAAAACAGCAAAACAGTATCTACAGATTTTTTTAACACTACCTAAACTAACTTAAATAAAAAAAATAGATGCTACATTTTCACTAACAGAAAATTTGCAAAATGTGACAAACTAATCTGCTCAACATCTAAAATGGTAAAATATAAGGTATAGGTGTAATTTGGCAATCCCAAAGTGCTATTCACAGATATTAGGCCATTTGAATTAGATAGACAAATTAGGGCCGTGGTAAATTCCTGGGCCACCATTTCCTTGGTGTGCCATTGCATTGATACTCTGCTGAAACACCACTCGTCCAAAAGATATTTCCCACTCTGCTGTTTTGCTGATGGTAGTGAAGAGTGTGCCTAAGACAAAATCTCTCATCGTATTCATCTGGGTTGAGATAGAGTGACTGCAAAGGTCATAACAAACAATTCACATCATTTTCATACTCATCAAATCCTTCAGTGACCCTTTCTGCCATATGAGTTGGGGCACTGTCTTTCTGGAAGAGACTATTCCATCAGGATAAAAATGTTTCATCACAGGATAAATATAATCACTCAAAACAATGCTGCATTGATTTGCAGTGACCATTCTGTCTAAGTGTAGCCACACCATGCTAGCAAAATACTCCCTTGAGTTGATAGTTTTTCCTTCTATATTATTTGGGTTGGTCCAGTGTGCACCCAATGCCTGCATTTTAGCTTAATGATGACTCTGCGTACAGCATAGTTGTTACTTTAGATGGTAAGGGTAATATACTACATTTGCTTCACGCTATTTCCTGCAAATATCACTTTGTTCCTGATGGTAAAGCATGAAACGCTGATGGATAAATGTGCATCCGAATGATGCATTCAGAAATGTGATGAACTGTATTTTAGTAGGCAATCGTGTTCCATCATTAGTCTTATTTCATGTTTAGAGTGCTGTGAAACACGTCAGTCCATAATCTTTTGCATGCTATGAAGGAAACAGCATGCCCACTATAACTTATACCCTCTATGGAAATATCAGCATTTAATGTGCTCTTTACTTTATTTATTCACTTTAAAAATAAGAAAAGAAATACAACTGTATTCGCACACCCGGGCACCTTTTGTGATCAGGTAAATATCCTATGCCATCAGCATCTGAAAATTCAGTGAAAAGTATAGTAAATTCTGTCTTACCAGCTTTTACTGTATGCATTTGCATTTAGGATGCAAGTTATTTTCTATTTATGGTAATTTTATCTTTCCTTTGCAGCTGTCTTGGCTCTATTTCTCATCAGGGATCAATGAAGTTCATTTTAATCTTCACAAAAGCTCTTCTTATAGACTTAAGATAGTTTTATTCTGCAAAAAAAAAAAAAGTGATGAAGAAATCTCAGTAATACCCATTTGTAAGTGCTGTACAATCTACCTTGCCAGCAGTCATTGCAAACCTGAAAGGGAGGAAAGTGAGATATAGTGAATTTGACGTAAATGAGGCATAAATAAAGAATTGCGTTCAGCTTGTATGCTGCCGTGCTTCATTTCCAACCACAAACCTCATGGCCATTGTTAGAATTCATCACTGTGGAAGGAGGTCTTCTTTTGTGCTCATAGCCTATGGATACGGCACAAGGTTTATCATAGGAAATAATGAATAATGAGTATAATTCTGCACTCAGTGAGAACATGGAAAATCTTTGAAGAACTCTTATCATTCACAGTATCTGAGTCACCTTTTTCTTCACATACACAATCGTTCCATTACCAAAGCTTTCCCCATTATCCTCGGTTCAATTTACATATTTTTTTTTGTGAGATCCATTATGGAAAACCTGCGTGCACACACATACACAAGCAAAAAACACCAACCAAAAAACAGTAAATTTTAGATTTAAAGGGAAAGGTACCATTCATCACCACGGAAACTTTGTATGTTGATACGGCAATCAATACTCCTATACCACTCTCTATATTTTGAAGTTTCGTGGTTGTGGCTCCAACTATAACACACTGGCAAGTTCACCAGTCATCTCTTTCATTTTAACATCATAGGGTATGAAGGTGTTTGGTTATATGCCTCAGAGGTAAAGGGCTGTGGTAATATTGATATGGTTCAGCACTTGTAGCAAGAGCAGTAGTGGCAGCTTAGCTGTGCTCTGAAGTTTATAGTTTAGTTTGTGTTTTGCCATGTTTGTTACCCCCAATGCTCTTTTTATCTGTGTTTTGTCTTTTGCTCTTCCTGTTTAAGGGCAGTTCTTTCTCCCCGCAGTTGCCAAGTGCTTGCTAAAAGTGTGATTGTTGGATTGTGTACTAACAAAACACCTTTATCATATTAAGAAGGCCTTTATTGTTAACCAGTGAGCTACATAAATAGAATTTCACTGAACCAAACCAGAATCTTTATACACTTATTAAGTTTGATTTCTAGTCCCAAAAGCTCCCATGGTTTGCAAAAACAAATCAGTTCCAATAAAATGATAAAATATTACGTTTAAAATTTGAAAAAGAGGAGTTAGCTCACTAGTTTTTGTCTGAAGGTGATGCACGATACTGTTCTGACTTCAGTATTTAAAAAAACTGAAATGTGGAGGCAACATTTGGAAGGTTAGTGAGTTGGGCTAGCTGACATATTGTGATGGCTAGGGAGTTATGGGTATGAACACATCAGCACAGTAAAGATGTGGAATGAAGGTCAAATTTTTCCTGATAAAACTTGATCCATTGGGTTGGTCATCATTTTGTTACTGTGTGGTTTGAATTACTTGCTATGCCAAAGTTGTAATCTTAAGCTAACACTGAAATCTTTTCTGAAGCATTCAAGTATTTGTTGTCTTGGACACTGTGAGCCCAAAGGCTGTAGAGTTTTAAAAAGATGTGTCGCACATCTGTAAGAGGGCTTTCCTCTGTTAAATAAAACAAAGGATTGCAACACGTTAAAAAGCCAACAGCTTAAACAAGTGAAGTAGGAGCTTGGAACCAGCAAAAGCTTGATATATTATCATTCGACAAGCGGATTACTGAACATACAGTACCTAAACCAACTTGACCCTTCCATTGTGAAGGACGGATAATCCCTCACAAAACACTTAGTGACAGCCCTGTGACAGTCTATCCACAGGCCCAGCTGTAGTTGTTGCTTATTTAATGGCAATATATAAATAAGTTCATTAAAACGGGCTCCCAAGTTAACAACTACAAACTTTAAAAACAACAGCAAGTGTTGCCATTTTTAGTCTGGCAAAATCCCATCAGCAAGAGACCAGAAGGCTGCACGATGGCTTACTAAAGCAGCCAAACATGGTGCACTGCTTTACTTATAAAGAATCTTGTTTTTGGTGCTTCCTGCATTTTCTGGTGATACCCTGTTTATTTTCAACTACCTGCTTATTTGCAACTACAGTTTCACATACAGTAGAAAGTGCAGCAAAGAGAACTCGTATGTTTGAAATCTGATGTATTTCCAACAAATGCAACGATCTCCTGACAGCTTTGTCGTTACTTGTAATCGTTCGACTCGACTTCGATATTTGTCCAGATTTATTTCAGAATGCCGATTAAGTCACGAGAATGGATTAAGATGAATAAAGCCCATAATTAACACTGTTATCTTAGTCTTTATTTTGTCACAATTGTATGTCAAATATATATATGTCTATATGACATATATTATATGACATATATAATTTCATTTCTTTACAATAGAGAAACAACATAGAGATAACACACTATTTTGGTTTCTAAGTAGAAGCTCCTTGTAATAGTGGCATTTTTTTCAATACACTGTTTAAGTCAAGCTCCCACTCAAGTCATGGTTTTGTTTTCCTTTTGAGTCACATTTATTCACAATGTGTGTTTGTTTGTCTCTTTTCCTTTTGTAATTCGATGTCTTTTGTGTCAATATTTTTTCCCCCCTTGGGAATTCAATCTGTTCGTGTTCTTTCGAAAACTGATGGCCATCTGTTATTGGTCCATGTGGCCACACAGATGGTCCCACCTGCTAGCCATACTGAGCCACCAGCAAAGGTATACATTTATTGAAAACAGTGTCTTCTCTTTACAGAGTTAATCCAATCAGCTCGCAGAGGGCTTGGCATAAGTGTTTCCAATTCCTCTGCAGATGGGTCCTTTGGTGGCCAAGTCTGGTCCTCCGTACACAAGAGATGTCTGACCTTGGCACTGTCCCCGGGTTCCTCTTTGGCCTGCTGCCTTCCATCCTCTGGTCCCGCTGCCTGTGTGCAGAACTCTGGGGGAATACTGGACACTTTTCCCCTCTGACTCCCGTGCCGTCTTCTCAAGAGTGTTTGTGCCACCGTGGTGGATCTCACTGTGAGACCCAGACCTTTTCATGGGGCTGCAAAGGCTTTTCTGTTTTAACTCCTGCGCGAGTTCCACTGTAATTTCAAAGGAGCAGGGTGTTTGAGGAGAGCCGAGATTCTTCTCCAACCCCAGGAGAGAAGCGGCGGCGGCGGGGGGGCTAACGCTGCTGGGCATGACACTGGTCGCCAGCACGACGCTTTCAGGGGGAGAGGGAGGATTGCTAACGGGAAGGCCCGTCTTTCCAGCCAGCACGGGGTGCCACTTGAAGAGCCCTGCTTGGTTCCGGTCACTCGTGACCGGGTGGCTGGCCTCAAGGTCACACGTTTGGAGCGAAGGGATGATGGGCACAGATCGGGTGCGGAGGGAGGGTGGCAGGAAGGTCGTACCTTTATCGAGGCGGGTGCAGGGAACCTCAGTCCATCCTTTCCTGGCTGTGAAGTGAGAGAGTGAGGTCCTGCTCAGGAGGGCGCCGACCCTTCCGCCGGCAGAATCACACCTTTGGGCAAAGAGAAAAGGATGGAAATGTCAGGGTGAGGAAGTCATTTATAATTTGACCTTTTCATCCTAGACACTTTCCTAATTTTAAATGAATAGAAAAGCCCGAGCATTAGAGAATATGAAGTTACCTTCCATATTTAGAACACCAAGATGACATTCGTTGTGTTTTATAAAGATGCCAGTCTGTCAAGGCTTCACCGTATCATTTCACACCGGCACAAAAATATCTTGTACCAAACAAAATGATCACTATTTAGGTATTGTTGTTTCATAATCTACGTGTAATTATGTATAATCCTTGGCATGAGCGACGTCTACTGTTGCTGCATAAATGTTTAACTGAGAAATCCCTCTGCTCATCACTGCCTTATCAGAGATTTAAGGCTTTAGCAGTACAGCAGGTGGATTCCTGACCCGCCCTGTGTGACTGTTGTATGTAGAAACAATACACGGCTTCACACGGCTTCACACGGCTTCTAATTTCATTTTATTGTAGTTTTCACACAGCAAGCAACTAATCAGATGGGCCCACGATGTAACATTAAGCAGGGTTGAACGGGGGAGTAAGTCTCAGCAGGTGCATTTGCATGATGATGCATCCTCCTTCAAACGTAGAGAGCGGAAGCAGATAAGCTTGAAAGGCATTATCGTCGGCCATGACAGTAACACGGCAGAGAGGGGAAACTTATCTGGAGTCAAGTGGGCAAGTTTGTGTATGTTTGTTAAAGTTGTTACTGAAGCCTCGACTCCCATTTAGAATCGCATCCAGTGTTATTGTCAGCCTTGAAAGATTGTTGGCAGCGTAACCAAGTTTAAAAAATTGAATTACCACCCCACCCTCCTCCCCCACCCTTGGTATTAGAAGGGCAAAAGCAAGCTGGAGGTAAATCCGACAGATCAAAACAAAACCTAAAAATAACTCCAATAGCAAATTTGCTTTCAATTCCTCCCCTAAGCGTGATGGGTAAATATGTTTTGACACCAGATGATGAAACTGACAATACTCTGTGGGGATTTGTTGTCACAAAATGGAAAACGCAGAAGAGTGCTTTCATGTCTGTTTGTGGTTCTCGCCTCTTTATTAACACTTTCCACCGCGCCGGACTCGGTGCCTCCATCTTTACTTCTCGGCTCAGTCCTCCTCCTCCTTTCCTCACTTTCCCCTCTCGCGTTCTCTCACTCTCCTTTCCACCTCCCGTCTCTCATTTCCAGAGATGAGAGGGTGTATCCATGGCAACACGGGAGACATGGGGGCTGGAGGAGGAGGAGGAGGAGGAGGAGAGGGCTGTAAGCTTGGTGTTGCGTGGCTTGTAAGTCGAGAAATAGGTCATTTCAACCACCAGAAGGCCAGCGAAAGCCATATTTGAGTGATGGATGTGTGGGGGAATTATCAGTGGCTAATGAGATCTAAATTGTTACTACACAAATGCAATTTTATCCCCAAGAAGATGACAAGCCCTCCTATTTCAGCTCCTCTCCTAAACATTTGACAAAGCGCGGCAGATTTAATTGCCTATAGCTTTACAGATTTCGCCGTTGTGAAAAAGAATTCTCGTCAGCTTCTTTATTAGTGTGTTTCGTTACTCCTTATAAGTGCGAGCGTGCATGTTTGTGAGTGTGTGTGTGTTTAGAGGGAAACTGCTCCTGAAGGATCTTTCTGCACAACCATTTGAAAGAATTGCTGAGCTCCGTGGAGCTTTGTTTAAAAATGTAAATTATGGAAATAGGTCACATAAAGAGTTTGGCAGCTTGCAGTGTAACTTACTGTAATGCTCAATCAGGTTGGCATGCTAATAGGAACATTGCTAGGCACTTTAAAGTGTGTGAAATGCACAGGGGACACTGCTGCTTTAATGACAGACGTTTCTGTTAACAGTGCTATTGCTCAAGTTCCACACAGTGACAGCAAATTAGGCTGCTTCTGAGTCATATGCTAAACAGGACTGTCTTACTCAGGATTAAAGATGCTCTTGTTTGCATCTGTAAATAAAACCTACACTTATTTAATGTTTACAGTGTTTTGAAGGAGAAATGCCAGTGGAGCTGCTTGACATTATGCATCAATGCACCGAGGAATACAAGCACCTCAGTGATAAATATTTTCCGTCTTTGGTGGTCGTTACGCAACAATCAGCCTGAAAAAAGGGCAAAAGAAAAGTTATAACTAATGCGAAAAGCTTTGTTTTAACATAAAAAAATCAGTATGTCAGAGAGGATTTCACATCACATCACATTTTAGCAAGCGTGACCAGTCTGTACTTTTTAAATGTGTTTTAAGTCTGCAGACTAGGCTGTGCCAAAAGTCCCTCTCGCTTCGAATGCCTCCTGAAACAGCACCAGTAGCTGCGCTTCGCTCGGGATGGCCGTCAAAATAGGCCAGCTCGCTTCACTCGACATCAGCGGGAGCATGGGGGCAATTCAAGATGTGCAAAAGCCTGGAAGTAATCCATTTCAACATGTAGCCTGTTCTAAGAGGCCGCAGTCATCTAATGTACTTTATACTCAGCTTGTAAATTACAGAAATTTAATCATTTTGTTGATATGTGAACTATGACGCTTCCCATGCTTGATCATTAGCCAAAATCAAACCGTTTTGGATAGCTAGAAATTCGTGTGAACCCGTGCATCATTTGGTAATTAGCTTTGGCACAGCCGTTGTATTTTTAACCCTGTTAAAACATGCAGATAAAACAAATTTTCATTCACAGCAGCAGCCCAGTGGCAGCGAGGATTACACACATCTTCCGCAGCACCATGATACTGTTGCGCTTTTGGGATCAAGTGTGTTCTCCAAATTAATTGTGACAGTCCCAGCTGAAAGAGGAGGGGGGTAGGGGGGGGCACTGCAGATCTCATTTATTTCCCTGGATCACATTTCATAGGCTGGTTCACGGATTTGAACTGAGAGTCTTCCAGTCATAAACTCATTTCTCCCTAAATTATCCCTCTGCCACTCCGACTTAACCTTAGTTAGTCCAGAGGTCTGTATCACTGAACCGGCTATTTGACCTCGGCGTGGAGGGAGGCGAAGAGAATTTCCTCTTTGCTGGCTCAAACAAACATGACAAAACTAATAACGAGACAAAGAAATAGTTTCACCTTCTTATGGACTCCATGTCCGATGACTCATCCTCCTGCAAGTGTTTGTAGACATGCCCCGCCACTCTGGATCCGTCAATAAGATTTGTGGATATTTTGTGTTTCCCTCTGGAAATGGGTGGAGTCCTGAAGTAATTAGTCTCTCTCCGTTGTAGGGCTGGGCTGAGTGAGAGCGAACTACTCCTGAAACCAGACAGCATGCAAAAGAGATGGGTCAAAATCATTAGGTAAAGACCGTTCACTAATTCATCTGTTGTATCAGCTATAGATGTCCTTTCTAGGGTTTCATGATGTAAAAATGGTCTGGAGTAAATCGACCTTTGTGCTTGAGACTTGAAAGGGGAAAAAACAAAATCCAATCCCACCTTCAATTGACTCGATGCGGAAATTACCCTGGTATCGAAGCTTATGAGACAGATGAATCAGATACACGTGAAAGGAATCGTAAGTTATCAATAAGCAATACAATTTACATAAGAATGGAATCATTTCCATTCATCCATCCATTTTCATCTGCTTATCTAATTCAGGCTGAAAGGCTCGGTACACGGCAGACAGGTTGCCAGTCTATCTCAGGGCTAATGCAGACAGACAGACAAACATCCAACCTCACATTCGCACCTATGGCCAATTTAAAATCACCAATTAACCTAACATGCTTTGGATTGTGGGAGGAATCCGGAGCAACCAGAGAGAACCCACGCAGGCACAGAGATAACATGCAAACTCCACACTCTTCCCACCCCCGCAAGAGAGGAGGGAAGGAACTATGGGAGAAATCTCAAGCTGTGCCTTAAAGGGAAACGCGAATGCGCTTGAAACGCCACCCCCCTCCAAAAAATATCTTCAGTGTAAATGTTTTAATTTCAAGATTAGTATGCATTCCCTACGCTTTCTTTTTTTCACTCTCTTCTACCTGTTGAAAAGGGGGCTTAGATTAATTCACATTCACAAAGTGCACATGTAGCATAGAAAGATGGTTTTCATGCCAAGCATTCGTTCATTCATTCTTGGAATTGGCTCACCTACGAAGAATGCAGCTGTTTTTTCATATTACAAAAATACACCCATGCTTTCCCTGCAATATGTGCTGTGAAAAGGTCTAATCCCAAGGAAAATGTGGAGGTTAGCAGTGTGATGATGCTCTGTTTTTGTTGCCTGTGAATGTAAAGATGCAGGACTAGTTTCTCCCTGGGTTTTATTGAACAAATCTCACAGAGATTTTGCCTCGAACCAGGTGCCGGAGAAGAGGCTGTGTATTTACTGCGGTGCATTCTAGGAGAGGTGTGTTACACTATTAAACACATACTTTTTCATGTACTTTGAGGGCTGCTTTAGAATTAAAAGATTAATATAAAAAGTTTTTTACATACATGCTTAAATGAAAAACCCTTTGCTGCTTGAGAGGAAACAGTGCAAAAGTCTTGAGTCTCTCCTGGTTTTTAATGTCAATATTTTAAGTTGGTATTTGGTACGACCACCTTTATTCTTCAACACAGCAATAGGGAAGCCTTCTTTGAGTAACCTCACCTATCGTTATGAGCTTTGGTTAGTGACTGAAAGAACGAGATCGCGGATACATTCGGCGGGAATGAGCTTTCTCCAAAGGGTGGCTGGCCTCACCCTTAGAGACAGGGTGAGGAGTTAGGCCATCCAGGAGGGGCTCAGAGTAGAGCCGCTGCTCCTCCACATCGAAAAGAGACAGTTGAGGTGGTTCAGGCATCTGACAAGGATGCCTCCTGGGCGCATCTTGAGTGAGGTGTTCTGGGCATATCCCACCTCTGGGCAGACCCAGGACATGCTGGAGAGATTATATCACTCGGCTGGCCTGGGACCGCCTTGGTGTTCCCCCGGATACGCTGGAGGAGGTGGCTGGGGAGAGGCCAGTCTGGGCTTCTCTGCTTATCCTGTGGCCCCTGCGAGTTTCACCCGGAAGAAAATGGATGGATGGATTCATGGACCGAACATTCAACATTTTAAACAATCATTTTTGAATTAACATCTGTGTTTACACATTTTATTGTCAGTGATGGATGCTGGAAGCTGGGAATCACCAAGAAGACAATGTCACTCCTACTTGTAGAATTTGATTATTTCCATAATTTTTGATTTAGCCATTCAACGCAAATTACAGGATAATTTACAGTTTTAATGTTACATTTTAAAGTGTCATTTTGATCCAAAGAGCCATGCACTAGCATGGTTAAGCAACAACAGCAGCTAACATGCTAACGAAGTTTACATACAGACCTTTATCGTTCAGAACATATAGAAAACACTGCTTTAGTCTTTTCTTTCTGTGAACTTCAAATAAATGCCATGTATTGTTCGGGGTTATCCTGCACCTTGAAAATGACCTCTAGCTTACATACTGATATTCTACTGCTGTTAATGATAGAAGCAGCTGCCTTTAGAGACTGAGCTTCCTGTTTAGGCACACAGTTTTTAAATTGGTCTGTGGGCAGTAGGTGGTCTGCCTCAAAGCAGATCCCTGGATGTCTGCAGTAATGAAGCAGTGGTATTAAATCCAAGGTATACCGAGCCATAATGCAATCTGATGTGTGAGCACATCATGCAAAGACAAACAGCTCCCAATGAATATGTAATCACAAAATACACTCAATTATTTTGATGTTATTATGAATTTCTTTAAGACACCGTGGCTACCTTGATCGTTGCTTACCAGCATATCCTCTGTGATCAATATGTCAGTTGATTGTGCTAGTTAATCTGAACCACTGAAAAGAGTTGAAACATATTATTATTGTCGTGTAAATAACTTTTTTTTGTATTGAACCATTAAACAAAAATCAGCACCACACGCTCTCACAGCTTGATTTTGGCTCTTGAATAATTTGGCACAGCACAAAAATGGCTTGTGCATGAAGTGCTGCATTGTTTGATTCTTCTTGTTATTGAAATAGTAATCAAGATGTTCAAACTTTAGGATTTTCTTGCCAGTCATTAAACTGAACTCCCTGATTCCTTTTCTTTCATGCAGTCCAGTGGATGACTGCTTAATAATTGATAAACCACTGAAACACTGAAAAAAACAACAACAAAAAAACGCTCTGCTACAGTAATTTCCTGATGTCCGTGGCTGTGGAACAAAAAGCATACACAATGTTGGCTCTAGTGTTTGCTGGCTTTTATATCGACTGATGTTGTAAAAATATGATATGAATACAGCTAAATATTGTCCGTTTTGTTGGCTATTAGCGTGCTGATTTTTTTTAAATTAGGATTAACTGGAAAAAACATGAAAACATGATTTTTTTGGGGCTGTTGTAATTACTGAATGATAAAAGTTGAACCTTTTAAAACGGAAAGGCAGCTGCTTATCTCCACAATTCAACAAGACTGTGCAACCCCCTGATGTTAAATGGGTAAGCCTGGTTGGTAGGGTAATCCAGTACTTATTTAAACCACTTCCTCCCTCTGTTAATGCCTTTACCGGACATATCGCAGAGAGAGAGAAATGGCAGGAAAACAGAGGGGGATGGCATGTGACAAAGAACCTGAGGTGAGTTAAAAAAATGGAAAAAGTATGCCACATTTTCAGAGTAAACACCATTTTCTACTAAACCAGCAGGAAACACCCACATAGCACTTCTGATATTCACTATGGATACTGATTATGTCCCCTACTCAACATGTACAAGCCACACGTGGTGGCTTTCAGCACATTGATTAGGCTTCTTACTACAATTTTCTCATAATACCATCATGACAAAGGAATCATTGTAATCAACTGAACTTAAGTGAAAACAGCAATTGACTTGTGTCAGCAGGAGTCCACTGTTTTCATCAAAGCAACTCGTACATATTACCGCATTCAATAGGACACGCAAGTGGGAAGTTACGAATCGAAATGATTTTTGACCTCTAAACATTTGATGAACGATGGTTGCCTTGAGCTTTTTTTCTGCAATCAACAGGCGTGTAGTTCATTTAACTGCAGGAGCAGAAGAGCAGGAAAAACAAGCTCAATACATCCTTTGTCAAATATTATATCAGGTGAACAAAATAAAGATTTAATTGCTTTTGGCGCTGATGTGCTAGATAACACATGGCACAAGGTTTTAAGTTCATATTTAACCAGCATTGTAATGCCAATTATTCTTGGCTGAATGACTTAAATCATGGAAATCAGGGCTGAAAAATCTCAGTTCTGGAGCCAGAAATTCCCAGCTGCCATCAAAGGCAGCATATCCCCAAGAATAGGCTGAGTATGACAGGGCAATATAGCCAAAAATATTTATCACGATATCCATCCATCCATCTTCATCCGCTTATCCGAGGTCGGGTCGCGGGGGTAGCAGCCTAAGCAAAGAGGTCCAGACCTCCCTCTCCCCAGCCACCTCCTCCAGCTTGTCCGGGG